AATAATAATTCAGTACAATTAGATTATCACCACAGATAATTGATCAAAATAAGGTCCATCTTTCCCGTTTTACTGCCATTGCAGATTTTTCTATGTGCAAGCAAAGGCCCCCTTCATTTACCATACGGCCCTGAGTCTATTTAAGGAGCTGTGTGTTTTCCATCCCGGATTAAGAGGTAATGAAGAAACATAGAATTTCCTCTTATCAAATGGCTAAGTGGGGAAAAGACTGAAAAGCAAAGGTTACACAGAATGGTTCATGTTCATTCACATATGTAGCATTTGGGGAGCTCTTCATGTCTTTTCTGTAGATCCAAATTCCTATCTTTCCTTGAAGGTGCTTTTTGTAACATTTCTCACAAGGACATGCTCTTAATTCTTGTTGAACTGAAAGGCTGAATTGACCTTCGTATTTGAAGGATATTTTTACTGGGTATTCAAGTCTAGTTAGGAAGCTGGATTGGTTTAGGCGCTTTGGAGATGTCCTTCTACTGTCCCTGGAGCGGCACAGTTTGTGGTTAGACATCTGCAGTAATTCCTTTTCTTCTTCTATACATCAAATATCTTTTTTCTGTTGGTTGCTATTTACACTTTTCTTTTCGGCATTAGTTTCCAAAGTCCCATGCCAGTGCGTTTTTGAGTGGTTTTCTTCGTACTACTTCTGTCTGGAGTTTGCTGTGCTTCTTGGTCTGTGGGTGTACATTTCTCAGATATCACGTCTTCAAAAAGAGTGTCTGCTCTTCCATGCCACATGTTTTGGTTTCTAACTGCATGTACATTGCACAGCTTAAAATCACCTCGGTATCCATGAGATGGGGTGAATATGACAGGAGGAGGCGTTTTGATTTTTAACCTTTTTTTTTTTCTGGTTTTTTTTTTTTTTTTTTTTTGAGACAGAATTTCTCTGTGTAGTTTTGGTGCCTGTCCTGGATCTCACTCTGTAGACCAGACTGGCCTCAACTCACAGAGATCCACCTGCCTCTGCCTCCTGAGTGCTGGGATTAAAGGTGTGCGCCACTGCCACCTGGCCGATTTTTAGCCTTTTATAAAAAGTATGTGCATTGTCTTGGATACTTTGCGTGCTATGTCTTCTGTGTATGGTGATCTTGTACATCACAGAATGTGACGGCAAGCCTACCCGTCCTGTTCTTCATCTCACATTACCCCCTCTCTAAGTTCTACTTGTGCTTTTTAAAAAAAGTTTTATTCTTCATCAGGTTCATGTTCTCATCTACAACCCCAAGCACAATGATAAAACCTGGGAAAGTTGTCTTCTATCAATCCCATTATCTCACTGCTCAGCCTGTTTCTACTAATTTTTCTCATTATAATTCACATTTTTATATTTCTTAGCAGGCTAATACTTTCTAAATTGTATCTGTGGGCTTATTATTTTAGGTGATAGCTTTTGTTGTCTTCTTTCTAAAAACTTTGGGCCTCATCACAGCTCTGTCTGATCCATGACAGCCAGATGAGTCTGATCCGAGACAGGCTTGCTTTTCAGGGTAGTACAATGTTGACAGAACAGCTTTTACCCCAGCACCAATTTAACCACGGTACAGAGCCATGGCCCTATGGAAATTCCACCTACTGTCTTTCATAGTTTAAAGTTCTTCACTCAAGCTAGCAGAGTGTCTAGGAGCTCCAAGGGCCTTGTTCAGACTAATGATTTCTGGTGGCCTTCTTCCAAGTCTTGGTTGTTTCTTTTCATCTTGTACAAATCAATAACACTTCACCAAAAAACACGGGACAAGCCCTCTCCAGATCTCCAGAGTTCCGTTTCCATGGAGTTCCCCATTCTATTAACGTGCCCTGCAAATTCCAGCCTCTTCCATCTGCCTAGAATTCAATTCAGCCTGCTGGGCTCTCCTTGACTTGTCCCATGCTGGTGAGGATCCTACAAACCTTCCTTCGAGTGTAAGTGTGGCAATCACGGGCCCCGCTTCACTTTCTTTTCCGATTCGCATGGATGAAAACGTTATTTCCCAGTGTCTGGCACTTTGTGTTGATGCTCATCATCCACAGTGGGAGGGCAAATGCTGTCTCACACTTAATCATTCGTAGGCAGCAACGGCAGGGACAGAGCGGATGCTGGAAACATAGGGTAAATAGCACATTTTGGAGAGTGATCGCCTGACCATAGAAGCCAATGCCAGTAAGTGAGGGACAGCAAGAGAATCAAGAAATAACAATTTAGTGTCAGCGTATCATAAAATAAACCGTGGAAAGAGTCAGGGAACTGAAATCAGGTGCGAGGCAAGAGCTGATACCCTGGACCAGAAGGTGGCCATTCAGGGACTCTGTGCTTACCTTTCCCATTTGTACAACTAGAGCCCCTCCACCAGCTCTCATTTTATGTGAGTTCAGTAGATGTGGTGATGTTGTGTTCCCCAAAATATTGTGCACCCGAATAAACTTATCTGGGGTCAGAGAACAGAACAGCCACTAGATACAGAGGCCAGAAAATGGTGTGGCACACATGCCTTTAATCCTATCACTTGGGAGGCAGAGATCCATCCGGATCTCTGTGGGTTTAAAGCCACGCTGGAAATAGGCAGGTATGATGACTCACACCTTTAATCCCACAAAGTGAGCCTTTAATCCCAGGAAGTGATGGCAGAAAGCAGAAAGGTATATAAGGTGTGAAAACCAGGAACTAGGCTGTTGATGTAACCAACCGTCTAATTAAATAAGAAACACAGAGACAATGTAAAAGAGAAAGCCAAGAGGTCAGAGCTCAGAGCTAAAATCTCACCCTTCCTCCTGCTGTGTCCCAGCTTCCCAAAAGAGAGCTATTTCCTTGTGAGTCAGTCGGTTCAAAGTCATTCTGCCTTCTCATTGGTTGTAAACCCAAACAGGTGACTGCCTCGTCACTGTCTGTATGTACAGCCCCCCAAGTCTTAAAGGCATATGTCTCCAATGCTGGCTGTATCCCTGAACACACAGAGATCTATGGGATTAAAGGCATGTGCCACCACCGCCATGCTCTTTCTATGGCTCTAATAGCTCTGACCCCCGGGCAACTTTATTTATTAACATACAATCAAAATCACATTTCAGTACAATTAGAATACTACCACACTAGGCTGGTTAAGTTTTTAGGCTTTCAAGAAGCAGTTCAGCTGAGATCCATTTGGATGAGGACTCAAAGGCTTCCAGCCTGAGGAAACAGGATCAGCTGAGGAATTGGCAAGGTGAGGTGGTTGTGGCTAGTTCTGCTTCTCTGATCTTCCAGTATTCACCCCAATACCTGGCTCCAGGTTTGTTTTATTAACAAGACCTTCTAACAATTCGTGCTACAGTAGACGTACAGGATGTTTCCAATTAGACTCTTCAGAGAAAATGTTATTAATGTCAAGTATTTACCAGGTACCTACTCTCTCTGTAAAGACTTGTGCACAGAATGTGTGCGTACACCTGTGCACATGCACTTGCATGCATGCATATACACATATGATGTTTAGTCCTTGCAACAATTCATGTCTCAAAGATCAGAGAACAGGCAGGCAGGTGAGCAGCTTCTCCAAAGTCAAGTGGCTAAGAACGGTGGGACAGGATCTGAAGAGCCTGGGTCTGGTGACTCCTCACTCCAGGTATTGCTGTATCCATAGAGCCTCCTGGATGGCATAAAGTTGACCCTGTTGAAATTACTTAAATAATTAATTAATAAAAGATACCTGCGTGGTTTTAAAGGGCACCTAAGGTCAAGTCACTAATTAGAAAGGCAGGTCTGGGGCAACCTCCTTAGTAATGACAAACAGCAATTCTAATAATGCTTCCATGTTGCCTTGTCTGGAAGGGGATGTAAGCTGTAGATGACCTCTTTACCAACCATATCAGCTCAGTGGCTAGGTGGTTGCTTGCATGGTCTAACTTTTCACAACAGTACAGGTCTACTGGAACTATATTAATGATATATCAATTAATAAATTATCAATATTAATAATTATTAATGTCAGAGCAAATTGACCTCCCCCTCCCCTTCTGCATGCATTTTATACAGTTCAACTTGAAGAGCGCATTGATATCACAACAAGATTTTCCTGTAATCACTGCCAACAATCAAGACGGTAGTCAGGCCCAGAGACTGTGCCAACACTGGTATTATCTCAGTTAGTCCCCATGACAACCTCAGGAAGCAGGTACCCTTATTGTTTTGCAGATAGCCTTGACCTGACCTTATACTGCAAGAATTCAGAAGTGAGCTCAAAACTCTGCTCTCCAGCTACAAGCCCTCCACCCTTTACTGAACCCTTGAGGCTAGTGGAAGGAAGAATATGTTCTTTTTCTTCAGCAGGTGTAAATATTGAAACAGTGACAGCTCAAAGACTAAAGCATCGTCCTTTTAAAAAAGTAATCCAGAACATTCTCTTAATTTTCCAAGATGCAAACTCTTACATCTTTTTGGGGTTTTGCAGGTAAAACATCATTTCAGGTGCACAGGTCATTGCTCGAGAGCAATGTACACCTTTATCTTTTTTTATCTGTGTGTGGTCTTAGTAATGCTCATGTGTGATGGCATGTACCACAAGTCCGATCCTCCCTCTGCTGGTAACAGTTTTACTACACAGGCCAGACTGCATTAACAAGAAAAGCCTAGAGCAAAGAGAAATATTGGTCAGCAGCTAAATGAGCTACATGATGTGTCATTCATAGACAAGAAAAACAGTTTTGATGCATTTTCTTCTGTGTGGGACTCACTAACATCCAAATCGAAGAGGACTACTTAAAAGATCCAGGGAGGTGAGAAGCCCCTGATGGTATCCTGGATGCTTCCCTTCAGAGTCCCTTGACTTTCTTCCATCCAGCATTAACCAAATGGGCACACTTGTACATAAGTCTTTGATATAAGACAAAATATTTTATAGAAAACAATTTTACTTTAGACAGTTCCTGATTACCTGTCAGATTTTGGTGAATATCTCCAAGAGACAAATAGATGTTTTTCCATCAACTATGTATACTGAACTATCACATTTCTAAGAAGAAAAAAAAAAGTCAGGGACAATATGGCTTGCTCCACAGTAAACCTTTACAGTAGTCTTCAGTGACAGTTTTTCCCCCTTTAGATAGATTGCCAATGCCAACAACACACATAGGAAAAATGAATGGACTAGTCGTTTTATTTGGGTGAATATGTTGAACTTTGTTCAAACAAAAATATATCTAAGTTTACTACATACCCTGAAAATGAATATAAATATCATTGTATGCATGCCCACAGCTCCACAGTGAAGGAGCTATTGAAAACAGGAGGGGGAAAAGGAGGCAGATCCAACATAATAATAAATAGGGTATTATCCCAAAATTTACAGGGGATCGGACTTCCTTTTTTAGAGTTTTCCTTTTGAAAAGCTTTTAACCCTGTAAAACACTGTTTGTTCTACTGCCAGGTAACTGATCCAGTGCTGGCCAGGGCTTTGATCCCAATCTTACTGTGGAAGGAATTTCCCCACTGGGGAAGACTTGATTCTAGATGTGGAGTCCATGTTGAATGTGTGGATAGACAGATCCAATCCAAAGACAAAAGAGAGCCTGCACCCAACTGTGTGGCCAGTGAAACACTGTTGCTGAATGTTCTGAAGTTGAAACACTCTCACTCACCAGACTGTTGTAGCAAACATTCACTCTGTGGGGTGTGGGTGAGGAATGGGGTCTAAATCCTCTTGGATGCTGCACAGCGGTTTCTTGATGTTCTCTGTGGCCCGCCAGGAAGGCCAAGTTCTTGAACTCATCTGTATAATGTGGGCTCAATTGGCTGTGAGATTAATAAACGTTCTATATATTCAGCTAATCCGCTCTGTTGCAAAAAAGCACAAAGAACACAACACAAGTGATGTCTTGCTGTCCCTGAGTGGTTCACCTCTTAAACACATCCCTCTCCAATTAAATGAAGCTTTGCTCATCAACCCTCCACAGCCTGCAGGGTTTTGCATGTAATATACGGAGAATCTCAGAGTATCTTGCCGGCAACCCACAGGTGAAAAATGTCTAAGATGTCTAGTTTATAGAGTCAGAGGGGAAGGATGTCAACCAGCTGCAAAGCAACATGGTGCCTTGGCCCCAGAGAAGATGCCAAAGTGCCTGCCTGCATGCATAATTTTAATAGCTGGACTCCCATGGAGCTGTTTTGTTGTTGTGGTTATTGTTATTATTGTTGTTGTTGTTGTTGTTTTTCCATCCTACTGTAACATTGGAGAGGAGCTGATCTCAGTGAAGCTCGCCAACAGAACTGGACTGACTCAGTTTCCCACAATGAAACTCAAAACTCTCCAAACACCATGATGTAAACATTTTTTTTTGTCCTAAAGTTAAAAAAAAAAAAGAATCTTTATTAAACTAGGCTGGGAAACAGTTGCTTAGTAGGTAAACCACTTGTTTTGCAAACCTGAGTTCAAGAAACCATATTTAAAGAAAAAAAAAAAAAAAAAAAGCTTGGAATCCACTGGCAATCCAAGCACTGAAGAGGCATTCTGGGAACTCCCTGGCCAGCCAGCCTAGTCTAATGATCAAGTTCTAATGAGATACCTGCTGTGGAATAATCCTTCTGTACACTGTGAAGATGCTTTGCTTTCATTATTATTAAAAGCTGATTGGCCAATAGCTAGGCAGGATTTTCTGGGCAAGAGGACACTGGGAAGAAGAAGGGCAGAGTCTCGGGAGTTGCCAGCCAGATGCGTAAGAAACAACATGGGAAGGTCATAGATGAGGTAAATGGGCCTCGAGACAGCACATAGATCAATAGAAATAGGTTAATTTAAGTTATAAGAGCTAGCTAAAAACAAGCCTGGGCTACTGGTGGAGCATTTACAATTAATATTAAGTCTCTATGTGATTATTTGGGAGCAGCTGGTGGGACAGAACTGATCTCAGTTTTAGACTGAAAACTTCCCCTATAGACAACCTCTGTCTTAGTTAGGTTTTCTTTTGCCGTGATAAAAATATCATGACCAAAAGCAACTTGGAGAAGGGGGTATTTCATCTTAAAATACTCAGGTCACATTCTGTGATGAAGAGAAGTCTGGGCAGGAACTCAAGGCAGAAAGCTGGAGGCAGGAACAGGAGCAGAGACCACAGAGAAGGGCTCTCTCAGTTTGCTTTCTTATCTACTCCAGGACCACCTGCCCAGGGATGGCAAACTCACAGTGGACCCTTCCACATCCGTCTTCAGTTAAGGAAATGCCCCCACAGGCTTGCCTACAAGCCATGATGGGGGCATTTTCTCACCTGAGGTTCTCTCTTCTCAAGGGGAGTCTAGCTTGTGTCAAGTTGACAAACAGGACATATCTCAAAAATAAAAATGTTTTAAAGGGAGGATTATGCCTGAGAAATGACACCCAAGTTTTTCCTACATATATATGCACAGGCACTCCCATATATAAGTGTGTGCACACACACACACACACACAACGCAACCTAGTAACTTCCTAATGCAGGGCTGTGATTGGATCCGTCAGTCTGGCTCCAGACTCCGAGGCTCTTAACAACTACATTCTCTTCTACCTCTAGAGGCCCTGTTTTGTCCTTAGCCTCCTAGAATTATTGTGTTGGTTAAATGAGATAATTCGTGTGTACTTAACAGACGAAGGAGGGCCTGGGACACTGGCAATAAAAAAGCCGGCCATTGTTTTTGTTTTGGGGTGTGTGTGTGTGTGTTTGTTTGTTTTGGCTTGGTTTTTTGCTTTGCTTTTCAGCTTTATAATAACCCCAAAAGATGGAACCAGCGGGGAAGATTTGAAGAAATCATATTTGTGTTTTTTTTTCTTCCCCACCCAAGTCTTGTGTTCATCTGCTTCTTTATTACTACTGATCATAATGATGATAATAATGAGGTCATTGAGTGACAAGAATATGCTGGATACTATACAAAACCTGCCCTCTTATAAAGCCCGCGTGTTTCCCAAGCCTGCTCAGGTCACCAGCAATACATCCCCAGGGCATCGTCTCAGAGACGTCCTCTCCTAAAGAACACTGGGCTCTTCTACTCCAACTGCAAGGTGGTTGGAGTGTCAGGCTGAAACTGCACCATCAGGGGCTTGCGATCTTTACGTACCTGATACTCACAAGCGTCGGCACATAGCTTAATTGAATCCCATCCTTTACTTACGCAGCACAGAAGGAGGTTGAGTCGCGTTTCTTGGACTTCCTGCCCCCATTCCAGACTTACGATGGCGCTCTCGCCAGCCAGTAAGTTCAACAGGACAGTCTCATGGGGGGCTCTTTTCCTGGGCAACAAATAGGAACCACGCCTTCTTCTCTCCTGCCGCCCATTCAGCAGAAAATGGGATCCACGTTTAGGAGGAGGCCAAAGCTAACTCAGCGTGGGTGTATTGGTCCCTGTTCTCTTTGCTGTCATCTAACACCTGACATGAAGGAGGAAGTGTTCCCTTCCCACCGTGGTCTGAGGACCGTGGTGAGGAAGGCCTGGCTCTTTGGTAGCAGGAGCATGCAGCAGCTGCTCGCTCTCAGCATCCCTGTGGACCAGGACACAGACAGGGCTAAACTAGGACCCGGTTACAAACCTGGCCACCAGAGCCACCACCCCTGCCCTAAAGACCCACACCCTCGAGTTAGGCTACACCTCCCAAAGAGCGCCACCAGCTGGGGACCTAGTGTTCTTACCCATGATCCTGTGGGAGCCATTTCACGCTGAAACCATGAGCCCAAATGAAAGACTACTGGAGCCTGGCAGTGGTGGCGCACGCCTTTAATCCCAGCACTCGGGAGGCAGAGGCAGGCGGATCTCTGTGAGTTCGAGGCCAGCCTGGTCTCCAAAGTGAGTTCCAGGAAAGGCACCAAAGCTACACAGAGAAACCCTGTCTCGAACCGCCCCCCCCCCCCCCAAAAAAAGCCTACTGGAGCACCCTGAAGGGTAGATTCTATCTGCACCAGCCCTTATTTTCTTAGGAAGCCAGAGGCTGAAGTACCTGGTGAGAAAACAATGTGCTGAGGCTGAGCACCGTTCCTCAAGCTCACCTGTCACATGACTTAAGGCAAACCTGTTAGCTTTTCTGGGACTCGGTTGTCCACCCATAGATTGATATTTTCTGGCATCTTCACCACAAGAGTGTAAAGCATTTCCCCATATGTTCCCTCTTTACTCCTGAATCCTCTAAGAGTTGGGAATACAGGTTTAGGACCGTAGAGGAATCAGAGGAGAAAAAAAGAAGTTATGACCTCACAGTTGTCATGTAGGTATGATGAGAATGCATATCGTACCTCGTGTAAAATACTCTTGTTTTCTGGAAACATCAATGTTGAAAAATGGAGTTATTAATGTAGAGACAGAGAGTCTTGCTTGCAAGCCACTTGGTCTGGGCATTTAAATGAACTGAGGGGATTTGAAAGCCCAATGTAATCAAAAGTGTTCACACTCGGATAGGAAGAACCCTGATCCAGTGGAGGCTCACAGTGCGCAACCGTCCCGTGTTGGGGGCCTACCACCTTGGAGTGATGCCTACTTCAGTCTTTACGTTTGCCTTGTGAAACACATTATCAGCTGTTATTAGCTCCATTTCACAGCTGGGGGAACTAAGGAAGCTCATTCAAATGGCTTCTCGGGGGGCCTCAGAGGAAGTCAGTACACCACGCGGGAGAAATTCCTGTGTTTGGGCTCTTTCTTCCTCACACAAATAGAGAAAGCAGGCTTCTCTGGCAAACTTCTCACAGCTGAAGTCATTTCTGCAACCAAGAGCAAGGCTGACATGATGTTAGCTCTGGGGTAGCGGTCACAACCATAGCCTTTCTGAAAGCGTAAGAGCCGTGGATGTAAGAATCATAGCAGGGAAATACTCTCGAGGTCGTATAATTGTAGCCAATGGGCTGCCAGAAAATTCAGAAGACTCCAAATCTCTTCGATTACTGAGTCCCCATGCATGAATTTAACCATATTCCAATGGCATTCAATTAAAACCTGACATTTTGTCATGAGCACCTTGGCCAAAAATAGGTCATGACTCCCAGTGGCCCCTGAAGATGTGGAGTATGTGTGTGGTGACGGGTGTGATGTGTGGTATGTGGTATCGTTTAGTCACTTACTGCCTATTAGCTATATACTAATCATTGTGTCTCTTGTTGGGGAACAGAAGTAAAAAAACAGAAGTCTTTTCCCCTAAAAGACTTTAGGATTTAGATAAACAACACCCACATATTCACCAGCCCTAATAGAACCTAGAGTTAAATAGATACTATTTTTAATTTTCTTAACCACATGTTTCTTTAAATCTTTAAACTAATTTTTTTTACAAATCACTTTCTAATATCACTATAATATGTTTGTTCCTGGCCTGAAAAGATGTTAAAGGCATTTGCTGTCCTTTGGTTTTCAATAATGTTAGGTGGTTTATAACTGCCTGTAAGTCCAGCTCCAGGAAAGCAGATATCCACTTCAGGGCTCTTTAGGCATGCATGTGGCATACATTCAAACACACACCCCAAAATAATAATAATAATAATAATAATAATAATAATAATAAATAATAATAATATAGGTTCTTTCCATATGAAAATTATTTAGTCTTTCAGCCAATACTGAGATTTAGAACTTCCCAAATGGACATTGTGCTTGCTTTCTCACAAAATAACTGTTATCTGCAGGGCGCGGTGGCCCACACCTTTAAAGCCCGCACTTAGAAGGCAAAAGCTGACAGATCTGTGTGAGTCTGAGGTCAGCCTGGGTGTGTATACAGTGAGTTCCAAGCCAGGCAGCCACCACTACACAGTGAGACCCTGTTAGAGGAAGC